TCTTCTTAATGACTTTTTGCTCTCTTCACATAAAACGGCCACTACTTGTCTGTCTGTTATGCTGTGGTGGCTTGAGTTGCTGTGATTCTGAGGACTATGCCACCAGTATTTTAAATAACCAGAAGGGTCACCCATGGTGGACAGGTTTCAGATGAGCTTCCAGACAAAGACAGACTAGGAAGAAAGAGTGACGAACTTCTTCCGAATTACTAGTCACTGAAAACTCTATGAATATCAGAGAAGTACTGTCAGAATACAAATATTTAGTGGCTATATATAAGGGAAAGTTTCCTTTTAAAGAAATAAATGTAAGATTATGCAAAAATGTGTCAAAAAAAGTAAAAAAAACTGTTATTTCGTATTTCTATCAAATTGAAAGAAATTTTAATATTGATCAGTAAGGAAATGGTTAAATAAACTAAAGAATGTTGTTCCCATGGAATGCCATATAACCATTAAAATGATGTAATAATAACATACTGAAAAATAGACGATTGATGCAAAGAAAGATAAAAAACAACATGATCCCAGTTTTTGTAAAAGACTACATCTGCATAGAAAAAGTATACATGTATACATACACAATTGCCTAGCTATTGCTCTTTTTTTTTCTCTTTGCTGTTTAGCTATTACTCCTAATTAGTGGATTAAGAATGATTTTCATTTTCTTCTTATTCATTTGACATTTTCTCCAGTGATCATGTGTTTGCTTTTGTTAAAAAGAAAAGAAAAATAAAATGAAAGTGAATTTTAAAATGAGATCAATTATAAAAGGATAAAAATAATAACTGGAGCTAAATGTGTCATCTAAAACTAGAAGCATTTTTTGTAAGATAGTTTAAGTATTTTCATTCACAGTATTTCCAGTAGGATTTTATTTTATTATATCTATTACCTTTTCCTTAAAAAGCTTCCAATCAGACAAGCAGGAGATGAAAATATCTCTTTGATTTCCCTAAGTAAGAAATAAGACAGTGTTTAAATCAAATTATACAATAGCCTTCCTTATATCATAACACATGAGGAATAAAATATCTTGTAACTATTCTCTAAAGTTCTCCCTATATACTATTTATTTGCATAATATGAGGTTGAGTCAAAAATTATCTATATTTCAGTTATGTTAAAATGCCTGTCCATGTCCACAGCTGATGACAACATTGAACATGCACGTCAAATGATTCTGTCAAAAAGACAAGTGACAGTGGATTATGTGGCAAATCATTTTGCGAATCAGCCATGGTTCTGCCTATGAAATAATCCACAACAGACATGGGTTGAGAAAAGTTTGTGCAAGACGGGTACCGAAACAAATCATGGAAAAGCATAAACAGAAGCATTTGGACAATTGCAAATAAAATTTGGATCAATATTCTAGGGAAGGTAAAAGTTTATTTTAAAAAGTATTGCTTAGTTTGGGTGTTGGGGAGGGCACACAAGAAAGGGGAGGGGTGGGAGAACAAGGTAGAGGAACATTGAGACAGGTTTGCATGGGCTAAATGGGATAAAGGTAAATAGAGATGCATGCTCAACATTAGAACAACATGCTCTGTATACAGGGATCAAGGCATAGTTTGAAGAGGGGAAATAATACTAAGATGCTTGACTGTCT